TTAATAATAAATTAATTTAATAATTTATTATTTCATAAATAAAAATTTAAAATTTTTTAATAAAAATCTGATTTTGAAAATTTCAAACTTATTTTCTTATTTTTGAAATAGGCTAAACTTATTCTCTTGAATGTGTAATCTTCCATTTTCTGAATTGTTACTTTACAAGCTTGGTGGATTATGATATAGGTCTAATAAAAAGAGAAAGTAAATTTTCTGATGCAAGTGATGCTCTGAAGAGAATGAAACTATATGAATAGCCGAAGTGCATAAATAGCAACGAAACATGTGGCCTTAGAACTTGGGGGCTTATTTTCTACTCTTAATCTTTCATGTATTATATGCACAGCAGCATGTATTCCTCGAAAATATATAGCAGTAATAAATATTTGAGATGAGTCTTCATTGTGCATGAAATTGTCTTAAATCTATGTGCATAATGATCTTTGACTGGCAAAGTGTCCGGAGTTTTTCCCATGTTGGGTTTCTCCGTGAACAATTTGGTGTTGTTTATTGCTTTATTTATTGCTTTGGCATAACTGCGGTATTTCAAGATATGTTAAATTGATTTGTTTGACTAATCACTTAAACATAATTAACTTGTGACTTGTTGCCTGTTAATTAAGTTTTAATTCCGCATTTACACCTAATCACTCCTCCTCTAGATGTAGTAAGGTCGAATCTTGCGTTTCTCATGTCATTGAGTAAAAATTAAGTAATTTTTTTTCTGTAAATTTTAACATGAAAATCAATTCAAAAGTGGAAAATGATCTTTAAAATGAAACTATTTTAGATAATAGAAAAATGACGCATGGAAGTGGTGGAGTGGGAAATGAGCTGCTCATCACCACACATTTTTTTGTGACGTCCATTTATCCCATGTAAATAAAAAAAGATTAATGGCAGAAAACTTCGTACAAATATTTTCATTTACGATATATCTTTCTATCTATTGGAAATTGCAGAAAACCCCTCTATTTGAAACATTTTGTGCGAAAATCTCCATATCGTCAAATTTAGCGTTAATAACAGTAAAAAAAAATAAAAAATAAAAAATAATAATTGCATTTTTAATATCCAAACTTTTTATTTTTTTATAAATTATTCCCAAATTTTTTTATGTGCCACCCACGATTTCAAACTTTTAAAACTTTATTTTCCACCAAAACCCTCCTAAAAATCTCTCACCCCAAGTTCATCATTCTTTTTCTCATTCCTAAGATAGGTCCTCACACATATGCAACGGTGCTTCACACATGGACAGTTGAATTCATCAAAGGCAAAACACACTGTGATCCGCCTTAAGAGTTGACATGGCTACTACCTCATGACGGTGGACGAGCCATTTCTTCTTGGCATGACAGGAAAAAAAAGGTTCTGCAAATTACTTCGACAACAAAAGTGGACACTCCAATTGAATGGAGCTTGTAAAGGAAGCGAATTATGTGGAACTAAAAATGAGAAGAAAAAATGAGAAATTTAGGAGGGTTTTGGAATGGATTAAATAAAATAATAAACTTTTAGGAAAGAAAATGAAGTAGGTTGACGTGGAAAATAAAATTTCAAAGGTTTGGGATTGTGGGTGGTACATAAAAAAAATGGATATAATTTGTAAAAGAATAAAAAGTTTGAATACTAAAATTGCAATTAGTACTTTTTAATTTTGACATTTTTACTATGTTTAACGGCAAATTTAATGATAGAAGAGTTTTTCGCACAAAATATTTCAAATGGAAGAATTTTTTGCAATTCTCAATAGCTCGGAGGTATATAATAGACAAAACGTTTTTAGGGTATTCTATGCTTTTAGACCTAAATAAAAATATTGTTTGACACTCATTTTGGAGAAAAAATAAATTTTTGAATAGTGATTAATGGAATATTGTGTGATTAAAAAGTAATGAGAATTTTTGAATTTATGTGTAATATTATTTTATTGATTGAATGTGTGGTTGAAATGAAGAAAGAAAAAATTGTGAAAGAAAATGGGAAAAAAAAAAAGAGTGTCCAGGCTA